GGTAGATTGCAGAGACGAGGCACAATCGACATGGACGCGAATCCCGTCCACTTCGGCGTCTCCGAGGACGTGAGCTAACCAAGCCTCCACATGAGCAGGTAGGTCACCAACAGCCGGTATTCCAGCATGTCTGCACATGTCTGCGACATGATCTTGATCGAGAATGATTCGCATCTCCATATCGTCGGCCTCGTAGGTCACCTTCACTCGATGCTTGCTATCTTTGTGCCGAGTGGCATCCAGAAGCGATTGAAGGAGCTTCTTTACCTGCGTCAGATGCCGATCATAAGTCATTACAAGTGCCAGCATTTGATCCAGCATATTCGACGTCAGATGGCTATGTGACCGTAACAACTTTTGCAGCCGATCCGCTGGACAAAGTCGGACCAGTAGATGAACCCGCGCTTGAGCAGCCTTGTCATGCGCGTGTGAAACGTCTCTCTTGCCGGACATCTTGAGCGGGACCGACACCCGTCGAACCATGCGTGGCTTCTTGCTATGGCTACCAGTATCGTCGGCGCAATCCATAGCATCTGGGATGATCGCATCCGTGATGCCCATGGACTTTGCACCGGCAAACGGTGCAGAAGACCATTGTCCCTTTGGTTTCGAGGACTGGTTGTTCTCTTCGGGATTCTTATCGTCTTCATGAGTGTTACTGGACAAAATGGGAGACTCTGGTGAATTGTCAGACATCCCGCACGACTTCTTGTGGACAGTAGTGGAAAGACCGCGGGCTCCCAATTGTGCAAAGGTGTTCGCTTGGGTGGCCTGCGAGAACTGGCCAGTGTTGGCCCACAATTGCCCACAACCTACGCGTGCAGACGAAAAGTTTCGCGCAAAGCCAGGAACGCCTGGAAAGTGGCTTCTTGGAAATTGTGCGCTCGCCTGTTGAGAGAACGTTGGCGCATTGGAGACAATGGTTCGAAATTGGAAAGGCTGTCGTGTTCCGCGACGCAAAAAGGACGAGCCAACTTGATAGTTGGGGATGTGCATGGGACGAAAGGTAGGTTGTGAAAAGACGTGGGAGATGGGTGCAGCTTCTTGCAGCACTCTAATCAGTTTATTGTCCACAAATGTGGTGGCGAGACGTTGAGGCGTCGACTGCTGTGCCAGAGCTCGCACCAGATGATTGGCAGCCGTATTGGTGTACCCCATATGATGAAGTATATTTGACTGCCTTGCAAACTGGTCGAGCCTCTGCTGCACAAGCAGCCTTATCGCCTTGATTGGCGAAAACAGCTTGTGTGGTCGCAGCATACTCTTCCGACGGCGCTTTGGGGTGCAAGTACCCCGCCGCTATGTAATCAGATAGGGGAGTGACTATAGAGTTGTCTGCTGAGCGTGCGCAACCACTTAGTCGCGTCGTCAAGAGTGAGAAGTGTGAATGAGTCAAGGTCGAAACCGCTAAGGTCATGGGGCATAGATTAATTCATTATCGTTTACTGTTTTTGGTAACGATTGTTTTAGGCCACACTAGGCTCCATATCGCGATACTGTCGGCTCGTAACGGCTATCCTCGCGATATCCTCTGCCTCGCAGATTCCACTCATTCCTCTATCGATACTATTGACGACTGCCTGCGCTACGGTCTCCACATTCAATGCCGGAGTGGTCACCAGCTTACCCAGAGGCAGGGTTGCTAAATCCTCCAAAATCCGCTGAGGTAGTATTCGTTGAGCGGTGTTTAATGGTTGCGCTAATGCACTGACGACACGCCGTGATGGATGGTGCATGAGACCTGATGATGTTGAAGGTCAGACAGCGACCTGACGTTTGCAACTTGACTTACCAGGCCGCAACACTAGTCCTGTCCCTCTCTTCCACGTCAATATCGCGCGTTCGGCTTCTAGCTTGGTTGTGATGTATCGGGGATCAACCCAAGGGAATAGATTCATGGCTGAAATGTAGGTATAATGGGAGACGGACGATGTTGCATTCGCTGCTGCCAAGAGGGCAAGGGCTAGAAATGTACTGAGTAAAGATTGTCGATGTTGCAAGAGATGGAGCTCTCACCTGTATCTTTGTTGATCTCTTCATATCTCGGATGCTGCTTAAGTGGATTGCCCTTGTCACCAAGAAGAGCTACAATGCCTATTCCGAGCAATTTGCCCAACGTTTGCGTTTCAGTGCCTTGACCATCGTTGCGCACAGCTGTCTTGTAGTCGGCGTTCTCTAGCAAGATACCGGCCGCATGAACCACGCTTGTTATATCATGCTCTTTGAGCACCCTTTCATGTGTCTGCTGGTCCAAGGCGTTGCCTCGGTGATATTGTATACGTGAATCAGACTGATCGCTCGGTGGTACATTTCGGCTAGACAGTAAATCAGTCGGCATTCGGTGCGGGTGGATTCCCTCAGCAACGTACCTCAAGCTATGTACCGTCCAGCCCTTTTCGGCGGCGCTCCTACATACTCGGGATCCTTTGACGACCATCAGCTTTCAGAATTGCCAGAAGCAAGTGACGAGCTTACCGAGGAATCCCGTACCCCCAACCACAAGCAGACGTTGAGCTTGCATGCCTCAAGCGATTATAGGAAAAGGGCACAAAGTTCTCCACCGGTCTCGAGAAAACCCTCGAGTGAAACGCGACCCTTACCAGGTAACCGATTCTGCAAGAAATGGAGACTATATTTACAGTGGAAATGGTAAAAGTACACGATCACTTCTTCACTGAACAGCTTGGGAGACTTCATCAGATACATATCGATCCATAAGCTAGTCAATAAACGGTCAGAACATGGTCAATTCTGCAATTCGCCATATTTACCTGTTGCCGCCGTCTTTCTACCAGATAACGTTCAATTTCTTTCTGAGTTGGCACAACAATGATCCCAATGGCGTCGCCTTTGCCTTTCTTTGAACCTTCTTCGTCGTCCATCTCCGCTGAATATTGCTCTATGCGTTCTTGTTCCTTTTTCTGCTCGTATTCCAACAAGAGACCATCCTCCTCATCGCGATATCCGTAATAGTCTGCATCCACGCCCTTTTGAAGGTCGTGTCGAGTCTTTTTTGGCGGTTGAGGAGCTGCATTCGGATTTAACGACGCCTATTAGAGCAATCTGTGATGGAATCAACCTACCCTCTTCTTCGAACAACTCGCGTACACCCGGAAGTTCGCGTGCTCGTCCAAAGTACCTTTCATATGATGAGCATGAGCCCGCCATCCTTCCTCTCCGCTTACTTGTATCCTCTGCTTCCTGGTACCTCCCTCCCGTCAGCGTCGATCATTTTCGATGCAATTTTCTGTACGGACGATTAGCATTAGGTACAACATTCGCGATGAAACTTACAAAGTAATTTGGACCTCCTAGTTCCAGGATTCGATGCTCCCAGGCCATTCTCTCACGCATTGACCTATTGATATCATCGTTCATATCCCGAATTTGATAGTCGGTAAGGGAAGCTACACGACTTGTGTCAATAGCTATACCAACACATGGGTATGAGAAAACTCACGATCGTGAATCTTTGCAATCTTTTTGGAGATTTCGCCAATCAGCTGCCGTCGCCATCGTTCTGCTGCTCCTAGACTAGTGACTTGGGAAGCAGAAGCTGGTCTTTTCTGTTGAGTACGCGGGACAATGCCTTGCTGCCTGTCCATCGCTTCGCGGAAGCGATAGAGCATGGACTGTGCCTTTTCCTCATTACGAGCCTGTAGAGGATAGATCTTAGTACAGCCTCGGACTATAATAACTCAAACGTAGAGCTTGGCGTGATCACATACCATGGCGAGTTTTGGTTACGTCGAAAGACAATCTAGCAGCCGTTGAGGTGTTCGCTTGTAGTGCGGTGCACGTGACCTAAATCCAGGATGTGTCGCTTTCGGGAGGAGGCTTTCAGGAAGCATTACACGCCCAGATGCTCCGGTGGCGCTTCTCGCTGGTTTGTGTTATAATATAACTGCTTCTGAAGGTGAGTTATGCATTTTATTGCTTTTTTGCTTATCCAGAAAATAAGATACTTTTAGCATCGAGCTGGGAAAAAAAGTTCGTATTGGGACGCAAATCATTGACAACGTGTATAGTACTGGATTGTCACTGAATATAATATTCTAGTGGTGCGTTCGCGATTGAGATCTGGCTATTCTTATCTGCTCCTGTCCACGTCTAAACTCCGCTTTCCAAGGATTTTGTGTTGTGGTGTCCTCTGTCCAACTTTGATGGCAGCATGTGGCGGCGCAACTGGGATACTTCCGGCAGACGGTGCCACTGGTACTTGGTTATCCGCAATTGGTCGAACTGCTCTTTCGCCTAGGGTCAGCTTCGATATAAGGCGCGTATTCTCAGAAAGGCTGGTCAAATCTGCAGATGACGGCTTAATGATCGGCTGCAATCAAGCCTTCAACTTGGAAGGTGGCGACCTTCTCCCACAAGTACACAAGACATGCTCAAGGTGTTTGACCAATCATCACTTGCTGAACCTAACTTCTCAACGGGTGCACAAGAGATTGAATTTTGAAGAGGCAAACACATCACTCCTCAATCAAATCGCCAGGGAGTACACGAACTGCGTAAAACCAAATCCTTTCTGTACTTGGCCATCATTGGTGATGTTCTCCTTCTGCTTGAGAGTGTGGTGAATCTCGTTTCATGGGGCGTAGAGGGTAAAATTATCGTCATCAAACGAGTGATGCTACCAACGATCGCCACACTGAAAAGTCTCCCAGTCAATCACAGGTAACGATACTCTCATTCTAAAGTCGCACAAGCAGTGGGTAGCGCAAATTTATCTATGGTCTTTCTCAGCAAAAGACAAAGTAGCGAGGAGCATGCTTGATTTCATTGTCGTCTTGGTTCCAATTGTTGATAACTTCGTCGGGCGGAAGTATTAGAAGTCGGCTGCAGGCACGTAGAATGCATAAATAATGAACACCCTGTGTACGAAATTACAGAGTATCAGGAGTGCGTAAAGTCGTGCGTGACCAATGGCGTTCTCAGCCTCCGTACGCGACATCCTTTCCTTCATATTTGTCTATCAAGCAAATTTTTGTTGTTGTGGGAATATGGTCTAGTCGTATGATTCGCGCTTCGGGTGTGCGAGGTCCCGGGTTCAATTCCCGGTATTCCCCTTTATTTTTTGTCCACTGTCTCACCTTTTGACGTCTCGGCCAAGATGTCACAGCCACCACCACAGCCGTCGCCAGTGCCGCCTGACGCTGGTCCGGAGGGAGCCAAACCTGAAACGCCCCCTACGCCGTATCCAGGTATACGACCCATTTTGCGACAGATTCGAGCCAACCGACGTCGGGAAATCGAGGCTCATGAACAGCAAGGTGTGTCCAAGGACCGCTGGGACGAGGTATGTTTCTCGTTTTGCAACCAAAAGGTCATCAAACGAAGCAAGGAAGGGCAACCTTCGTGCACCATGTATTGCATCAGACGGCAATTAGCGCCAAATGAACCACCAAAAGATACGGTAGAGACGACAGAGACGCGAAAGCGATATGTGGGCGATGTACCACGCTGGAACTTTTTGAACGGATATTATCTGTGGATAGGACATACGCCTGATCGATGCATTGAACACGTGCAAGGTAAGGGGGCCAGGATTCGCATCCACGTCTCCGAAGTCCTGCATTAAGGAACATGATCTAGGCATGACGGGTTATACGTCGCCTCCATCCCCTTCGTCGACCGCGCGAGAGATCGATTTAGGCCAGCGCATGGATGACGCTTTGCTTAAAGTCAAGAGTACCTTTTCCTGGATCATGTCACCTTCACAGAGTTTGTTGACACGGTATTGGACTTCCTGGCAGGATGGCACACAGCAAGCCTTTTTCTGGCGGTATGTGGAGAGTCTAAAGAGAGGTGATGCCGGAAAGTTGGTGTGGACGGGTGTGGAAAGGGTGACAGGATGGGATCCAAAGTGGCGCAAAGATGACAAGGATGATGATAAGAGGAAATGGTGGCGGAAGGACGATGAAGAGAAGGATAAAAATAACGGAGAAGACAAGGACTAGTGCGTCCGAGCCTCTTTCTATTGTATAGTACAAACGACATTTGCTACGGCAGTGGCCATACATGTACATATTAAAAGCATACTTCTGCTTTAGTAACCCTGTTGATAGCTATTGCCAGGATGATAGGAATCCATGGTAGGAGATAATATCTGGGGTTCTGGCATGCGAATGATCTGCGGCTGCTCATCCATGCCCATACCATGTAGCGTCGAGATAGCCGGTTGATGTTGTGGAGCACTTGGTGGCGACGGTATGCTCGGTATCGGGTAATGGCTTGCGACTGGTGGGCTAGTCGCAGCAGGAGGCGACCTGTAGCCCATATTGTCTTGATAGGGAGATGGCGCATGCGCCGAACTCAAGGCCACTGGATTAAATGATGGACTAGCTTGCGTCAAGGGCATGTGGGCGGCGTCCTGGTTGTCGCCGTCATAGTCAGTTGGTACGGTCAGACTGGTGTAAGCAGGTCCTGGCGTTGAAGCATATGCATAGTTGCCGGGCGGCGGTGTAGGACCCTCATTGTCACCGAGATGCAGATTGCCGTTCGAGTCTACCTGGCCGTTGTAGCCGTTGCTCGTGTAGCCGTTCCGGGTGAAGGTATGCTTTTGATAGCTCAACGCTTCTGGGTTATCGATGGGCGTAAGGTTCATGTCTGCCGATGATTGTCCTGATACTCCAGAACCTTCCAAGACTTCCTCTTCCTTGGATGGCATGCTAAACCGCTCTTTTCTTTCCAAATATAGATCTTTCGATGCCAAGGCCAACAAAATGATCCAACAGATCAGCGTCAGCCAAGCAAATGCTCCCGCAGCTTTGGATGCAGGCACCTGAGTGAGTGTAAGCATATGCGCGCCACCAAAGCCCGGCAGTACATACCGCAACACTACCGCTTGCATTATCGTAAACAATGATCGCAATACCTGCAGCCAACCAGAATACCACAGCCATGACACCAAAGACAACTCGACTCCGCGCCCGCTCGAAAAACTTGGCGAATCCCCGAAACTTGTCGTACCGCTCATACAGCACGGGAAACAACCAGGCGCACGGCGGCCACCAGATCGTCAAGATACAAACAAAGAATGTATAGCCGGCCGTAGCGGAAGTGAGTCCAACCTGCTGTACTTGCGTCGATGCCACCACCGCAGTACATATGATGGTCAAGCAGGTGAGAAACGGTATAATAAAGGCTAGGTACTTTGTCACTTGAGCACTGTGAGGTCTTTCCAGCGAAGGGAGGGTGGGTTTGAACGCCATATCTAGTAGCCTTTATACTGGAGTGTCAGAGTCACTGAGTGGTTATAAAAGCTCATACCCCGGCCATACTTACGAGAGGCGAAGAGAAAGAGAAACCTGCAGAGCGCGCTTAGCCACAACCTACAAATAATATATAATACGACGTCACAGTTGTTTCTGGCTTATAATTCCCATAAATGGATAATCCTCAGCTTTGCGCCAAGAGACATCCGCAAAGCATTGTTCCAGATGGATATAGTATTTACAAGAAAACGACTACTGTGCCGATATAACCATTCTTCATGACTTCAAAGACTAGTCCCTCATCTGTACCCATTAATGTGACATAGCCAAAGGGATTCTGAACAGACGATCCACGTGTGAAGGTGACTGGCCGAGTCTGTTTGACATCGTTGACGGCTCCTTGAAGTGATGGAATGGCTTTGATGATGGTATCAATATGAGCATCTCCAGATATATTTTGACTATCTGAAAGTTGAAGGCGCCAAGGACATCGCTTATACCTTCCGAAGTCAAAGTGACCCGGTACATTGCCGTGCAGGATGATTTTCTTACAAACGTGCAACGCGCCATGAAAGAGAACATCGATGCCAAGGTGAAAGTAATTGTAAAAGTAGTCGGTGGAAAGAGCATCAGAGAAGAGATCTAGTAGCTGCGCGTTAGAAGATGCGGCTGCAGAACGGGAGTGACCTACCGTTGGCGTCATCATCATAGTCTAATTGATCAGCCGTATCGCTAGCATATTTAGTGTCGGGAACTTCTGCAACCAAAACGTTGCTCTCTGTTCGTCCTTCGCGATGAATGCGCATCTTGTCCTCTTCCTTGTAGAATATCCTTGACGGAGCTCCAAGGTCGGCGAGTAGGTCTTGCGGAGTGGTCTTGTTGATGATGATGTCAACTTTGTTGGTGTGCTGGTTCGATGAATGGGGTCGTGGTGAAGGTGTAGATGTCCCAGCTTGTGGGGATGGAGTTTCTTGTCGACTTGCGGTCTGTTCATCTGTCTTGCTGTGAACTGCATGGTTGATATTTGCTGATGGTCCAAAATGTAGAGTACAGCCCCATCCCGGCTTGCAGTCGACCTTTGAGACATCCCGCCGAGTTTCGGCTGCCTTGGAGTGTAAAGCAAGAGATTGCGCTGACGTGTTAACAAATACTTTCTCAGCAACCGGTGTTGTACCATCCGGAAATACGGACGGAAGGTCATCGGAGGACCCAGAGTACAAATGAGTATACCGCGAAGGAATGGGAAAGACAAACGAAACACCCTGAAGCCACGGTGTCAGGCAAGTTTGTACAAGATGCACCTCCACGACTTACTGGGTAGTCGAGCGAGTAACTGTTGCGGTCTGGGTCGAACTTTCCAGGATACGTGGGTCTGAGAAGAAGTTATAAGCGATGATCACGTTGAGAACAGGTAAAGCTTTACCCAAAGGCTTTATGCACACCAATAAAAGTTGGAACGGCCTTGTTGGAGCTAGAGTGTGGGTCACTTAGAGAGGAGCAAACACCAGAAGCATAATAATACTCACCTGATTTCAGACATTTGGTAGGTCAGCATCACCTTGCTAAGGTCCCAACACTCTATTGAAATCAGGCGCTGGGTGGTACCATTAAAACGCAAGGTGATACCGTTCTGAACCAGACATAGAATAATGGATGTGTGCAAAGGGTCCTGCGCAGAAGCATAATGGCATTAGCAGAGGTCAAGCACCTTACGAAAGGTCCAGCAACACTCACCTCCTCACTGTACTGAAAGTCAACCTTCGGAATGTCCCTGTGTGCTTCTCGCAAAAAGTTGGCGAGTTCCCACAATGACGTCCCTAAGCCAGTCCAAGGTAAGCAACAGAGTTACCTCTTACATACGCTGCAGTTGACAAGTTCTCGCAAGGCAACAAATCCTTGCGAGCTCTCGCCGCCGCCTCCCTTCCTTACCTAGCCGAAAGCAACCTAGACTCTGAGAAGGTGTAATGCTAAGGTCCAAGCGAACGGCGACTTGACCGTCCGTCATTGGGGGTCAGTTTCAATAAAGGGTCAAAGGCAGAGAAGGAAAGTATTCGCTGAACAACCCAAAGTCGAACGGAAGGAGAGTAGAAGGCGAGGCCACAGGGAAGTGAAAAGTGACTTGCACCCTAAAATGGAAATTCACTTACCGCCGAAGCGCAGGGTTGCTTCACACTTTCAGGCATACGCTACACAACATTGAGCTTCATATTAGCAAGTGTATGAAGCATTGCAGTCAAATTCAAGCAATCTGTCCCAATATCTCTTTCTGGAATAGCCTTTCTGGCGAATTGTTTGATAATGCAAACGGTACCTTCTTACATCCGCCGCGCAGGGACTCTGGACTAGGTCGTTGTCATTGATACAATTGCAAAAGCAATACCGATCTGTTAGAAGTACCGTGATCGTCTATGTCAATCGCCATTGCTCAGACAGTGGCGCTCTGCGTCGCCTGTTGTCCTTCCAGAAAAGACTAACGCTAAATTCAGAACACAAATTAGGCAGCATCGTCCTGTGTGAGCAAGGCGAGCATGGCGGGATTAGGTGACCGTGTAGACGACACGACTGGTATGTCCCAATACTCGCGATGAATGCTACGAACAGGACTTACGTTATTCAAACAGTCCTGCGGTTCTACCAGCTAGACTCAATGCAGCCTACCAATTGGGTTGACCAAGTCTACTCTTCAAAACGCGGGTCGAAGCGCGAATCTGTCGCTAGACCAGACACCCGAAACAAGGGCCGAAAGGCTTCACAGCCAGACTTGATAGATGACGACCTGGATTTAGCGGATGACAGTGACCCCCTCGGTTTGAAACCGTCCATTTTCAAAGGGTATGCGGAACCGTCAATGA